AATACACACATTACTTCACATTTGTTTAATTTTTATTGTCTAATTACATGAAACGACGCCTTATTTTAATACACTCTCGTCCAACTAATGTCACCTTATGTTCATATGAGATAATGCATTAATTAAATATTTGTGCCACCCAACATTGGGTTTTCAGTTTCCACTACAGGTGAAAGATGCATGGAAATTAAAATATTTGTTAGACAGATCTCAGGTATAATCGATAAATATGACAAGGGTAAATCTGGAATATAAAGTGTGTGTATTGAAATAGGACATTTGTCTATGATGCTGTAGCATATAATGAACCATGTTTGATACCAAGAAATTAATGACTTGGACGGAAAATAATACATATAACATATGTGCTTCGTTTGTAAGCCATATGAGGTTTGGTACGGCAAAAAGTTACTCAGAAACGACACTAGTCAATTGCATATGAACCTCCTAAATAAGCTACATACAAACTAACACTACAAGAAAATGTGCATTTGGCGACCGTTATTCCACGACGGTTACATGTGAACCGCCTTGGAATTAAATACTAAAGCGGTTACTACAACGGTTACAGAGACCGCTATTGAATATTGGCAAAACACGATGGTTACATTGGAACCGTCGTTGAATAAATGTATTCTAAGGCGGTTTTATGTGAACCGTCGTGGTATTTATAATTTGGAGGCGGTTAATATCATTTCACGACGTATGATAAAATATTTTTCCATTTCCTACAATTTATTCATTGGCGCGTTTTATTTTGCCAAATGACTATTCATCGGCGCCCATTATCTTTCAGTTCCCTGTTATTTTTGGTTTCGACTATTCCCTAAGTTCCCAAAAAACCCTATTCAGCTATTCTCCCCAAATCGTTGCCACAAACCAAAATAGAACCCTGTTCGTCTTAGTTTTGGTTTCGACTGTCAATCTCCTTCGCCGTTCACGCTGGTGTGTCACCGACAGCAACTTACGACCTTCTCGCTTTCAGTCGGCGCAACACTCACACTTCCATTTTGGCTAAGCAAGCACATCAGGTTAAACACATCAACAATTTAATTTTGTTTCAATTTTTGAAAATTTTGACTTCTCCTTCGCTGATTCATACCTAAATAGCAGAACGTCCAAACAAGGGGTATCTCCGCCAGCTTCTGATTCGCAACGTTGTCGTTCAAGTTTGTTTGGGTATCTCATTCACAACGTTGCCGTTCAGCTTCTGGCACTTTCAGTTTCTCATTCGAGAAGGTCGACGGCGCTTCTGATTTCAACGTTGCCGTTCAGCTTTGTTTGGGTATCTATTCCCTCTTCCTCTTTCAACTTTATTCTTGTCCTGTCAATGCACATTCACTCTCTGTCTTCTTCAATTTTAATTTTTTTTATATATGATATAAGCATAATATATGATTACAAAAGCGTTCGATTTCACTTTCTGGGTCTCCTTTTGCTTTATTTGATATCCCAAAATCTGTTACCACGAGGAAGAAACACTGGCCCGAAGCCATCACATGTAGGACGGCTTCCCTGTTATGAGTATTTTCACTTTCTGTTTGTAAAGTTTTGATCTTTTGGTAGTTTTATTTTGTTTGGATGCTCAAAAACCAACCGACAGTGAAAGAAAAATATGGGTATAAAATAACTATAGTTTACTATAATTTCTCTAGAATTTATTTCTTAGATTTATTGTGCTTGATAAATGAAGTAGATGAGTCTGTATTGATGTGGGTATTATGGAGCTTTATGATGTTAGTTTTAGGTGCTTGCCTAATTTGGGTTCTATGAGCTGTCTCATTCTGACTATGTTTTGGTTACATGATTATATTTGTTATTAAAATTATTTAATGGGTGCATATGTTGAGACTACTGGTACTTGTTTTCTGGTTTTATATTGTGATTCTCTTGCTTTCAATTGTTGACATAGGCACATGGCAATGAAACAACTTATGTTAAATTCATCAATTTAGTATACTTGTTAAACTGTATGTTATCTGAAATTCTATAAGTTGGATTTGTTAAAATTTTCGCCCCCCTTCGTATAGTGCAATTTTGTGATGGCCTTCTTTTTGTTCTTCTTTTTGTGATGGAACTAATGCAATTTTGCTCTTCTTTTTGTGGCCTTCTGATCTTAATGGGATTAATCAGTTGTGGAGAACCATGGCAACGAACTACTTCTAACGACATAAATGGTGTCAGACCACCTGTCCTCAACTCACAAACAATATCAGGAGGACATCAAATTCGGGTACTCATGGATAATTAATATTTGTTTGTCAAGTCATTATATTACATAAAGTTAACAATACAAGTGACGTTTTGGTTTATTTATTTGATTTGGATAATTCCATTATATAAAGTTAACAATACAAGTCAGGGTAGTTTGATTTGCTACTTGAAGGACAACTCTGCCAAATCTCAATGTCATCATCTACTTAATGAAACTATGTCTAGTTAAATTACACTCTTGTATGTGTTAATTAGCTTCCTTAATTTCCTGTTTTGTTATATATAAAAAATACACTAAATGTATCCTGTTTTTGACCATGGACTTCATATATATCTACGTTTTTCATGAAGTAAAAAATCCTAAACTACTGAGTTTCAATTTTAACTAGTTTGTTCCTCTGATGTTAAATTACTTTTTTTGGGTATTATCCTTGTTACTAACTGTGGAGAGTGGAAATAAATGAAAACATTGGAGAAAGGATGAATTATCGAGTAATATTAAGATTTAAACATATCTATTACATGCAGTTTATTTTTCATAAGCATGAATTTATTAACAAACATGGGTATATAGAGGAGCTCCATATGTTACCTGCATGATGCAGCTATAGTGTGTATGTTGTCATCAATTGCCTCAATAATGGTGAAGGGATCATAAATAAAAATATATAAAATAAAACAGGATTTCTAATGATTTATACATTTCTGTTCATGGTTTTATAGTACCTCTATGCTTCCTCGAGCATCTTTTAGCATCTTGCTTTGAGACTTGAGAGTGCACAGTAGCCTAAGTCCCTACCAAAGGTGAGGGATCCACATTCGATTTTCCTAAAATAAAAAAGGTGTTTTGTGGGCTAATCATGTAAATAAAAATATATATATTTGTAGACTATGTGCAGTCTAAGAGAAAAAGAAGGAAAAGATTTGAGAATTTTGTGAGGAATATCAGGGGGTTGAAAATTAAGTAAAGAAGGAATTGTTTGGAATTTTGTTTCAGTGTGTTGACTGGTTAGTGATGTTGTAATGATGGTGCTGATGTGTTAATTTCCTTTCTCTATTTTATACATCTCTTTTTTTATGTTTTATAGGATTTATTTTCATTATTTCTTCTTCTTCTCTTCCCTTCCTTCATTTCTTTTTTCTTTCCCCTTTATTCTTGGCAGGTAATAAAACTTGGTACCCTGCTTGATAATTAACCAATAATATGATGTATAACTCAAATATATTATTGTGCATGTCTTTAATTATGTAAGAATTTAAACTGCAACTGGCGTTTTTGTAATTGGGAGAAGAAAGAGACATATTGTCAATAATCATCTACTGTAATAACATGTGTGCTTTTTCTTCTTCTATCCTCTTCTATTTTCTTTTGTCCCTACATACTTATGTCTATACAGTAAGGGAAAAATAAGTATCTCTGCTCATTGTAGTTGAGACATTATTGTTTTCAATCAAGGTCTGATATGGTTTCCAAGTTATTTGACCGTGACTTTTAAGAGAAGGGGTGTGTCATTTTAGTTTCAAAATTTCAACTTTAAGTTTCCATGTTGCTGTTCTATTATGAAATTGTATGACGATGGATGATGGATGGTTGCTATTGTTGTGACCTCATCAATTTGCCCATAGAGGCAAAAATGCCGCACAATACGATAGACTATATATACACTTACAAGGGGGAAAAATATGCTCAAGTGTTTCCATTATAGGTGTTTTAATCGTAATAATACAGTTTATGGAATAATTAGCATCATTTGATAAGTGAGTTAATTTTATGATATCTGCTTTAAATTTCACGTGATATGTCTGCTGCATATTTTCTGATGTAACATATTTGATAATTACAAATTTCCAATTTGGTATATGGAGAATCAGAGAATAGGTAAAATGATAAAAATTTCGAGTATTTCCTGACTTGCATGGTTGATCTGTATTGGTTCTTGAATCTATTTTTAATAAATAAATTAGAATCAATTTTATTTTGTATACATTATGGCCTATGTCCTTTTAAATTTTTCTTTTTTTGCAAATTTTTTGAGTCTACTCCCTTTTAACCTTACTGCCTTACTGTATGTGCATTTTAACTTTATATTAACTTTACTGACTTTTTATGTTGTCTTATTTCATGCCTCTTTCTGTAAACTGGCAGTGCCTTATTATCATCTGGTGTATAGTCCCTTTCACTTTCGATACCATCTTTGGAGGTACGTGTAACCCAACACTCACTTCATTGATGCATGTTATTTGATGCTATTTTTTGTGTAGAAACAAAATATTACTATTGCTTGTAATTTGCATTGCTTATGTGCTAGTTTATATTGTAAGTTTGGAATCTACTGATTGCCTTGTGTGTTTTGGTATGAACCTGATACTGAAAGTGGATTACATTTATCTCTTTAAATAATGTGTTGTGTAATTTGACCATAGACTATCTATGAGCAAATTATTGTTAAGTGTTGTGTTCATATATGATTTATAGGAGGGCAAGCTACAAAAGATAGAACAGCGAATTGTAAATACTGCTTTCTTTTCTTTTCTTTGCTTGAATTGAAAACGACAATGGCTTGAGAAAATAGAAGATGATAGGGAAGTTGGACACCCCATCGATCATGTTTATTACCAACTTTTGTTTAACGTAAGGTCCTCTAAACCACAAACCTTTACCCTAACCCTAAATGCTAAACCAAAACCTTAAAGATAGATGCATGTCTCTCTTTATCTGAAATTACTAACTCCCAATCAATTTGAATTGACTTGAATCTTAATTTTTATAGAAACATTACAAAGCAATGGATAAGTCTTGGATTATGCAGCCGCGTAATTCACCTGCATATGAACAAGGTGTTCGGGCTTTTATTGATTTTGCATCACAAAAGCGTGGAATTGAAGGTGAAATATTATGCCCTTGTCCATTATGTGGGTTTAGAAAATGGCAGAAAAGAGATGTTGTGTATGATCACCTAATTTGCAGACAATTCCCAAAAGGTTACACTTTTTGGTTCCATCATGGGGAGACAAACATGGGAGAAGCCAGTAATGTTGCTGCTGCATTTAATGCCAATGACACCCATGAAATTATGGTTGATGAAGATCCAATGCAGAACATGATCAATGATGCATTTGGAGTTGATATGCACCACCTAAATGAGCATAACCTTGAATGTGATGAAGATATTGCCGAAGGGGGACAAACAACAACAAATGAAGCTAAAGAGTTTTTTGAACTAGCTAAAGATGGAGAGCAACCATTATATGAAGGGTGTACAAAATATTCAAAGCTTTCTTTCGTAGTGAAGTTGTATCACATTAAACGCCTTTGTGGGATGACAGACAAGGCTATGACAATGGTATTGGAACTATTACAAGATGCATTTGACTATGCAAAAATTCCAAAATCATTCTATGAGGCAAAGAAAACTATCACTAAGTTAGGTTTGGACTATCAAAAGATAGATGCGTGCCCAAAAAATTGTATGTTGTATTGGGGTGTCAATGATGAAAATATGCAAACATGCAAAGTTTGTCACATGTCCAGATGGAAGACAAAGAATAAAGTTGGTGATATTTTAAGATCCGATGATGGCTGCAATAAAAAGAAGGTGCCAGCTAAAGTTGTTCGATACTTCCCATTGAAACCGAGATTACAAAGATTGTTTTTGTCCTCGAAGACAGCGAATGATATGAGATGGCATGCTATGGATAATAACAACGATGGCATGATGAGGCATCCTCGGGATTCTGAAGCTTGGAAGAAGTTTGATTCAATAAACACCTCATTTGCATTAGACCCACGCAATGTGCGACTTGGATTAGCTACTGATGGTTTTAATCCCTTTGGTAACATGAGTTCTAGTTATAGCATTTGGCCGATTATCGTAGTTCCTTATAATACCCCTCCGTGGGTATGCATGAAGTCTACATCCTTTATAATTTCAACAATCATCCCGGGTAAACAAATGCCGGGGAATGATATTGATGTTTATCTACAACCCTTAATTAAAGAGTTGAAGGAGTTATGGCATGATGGTGTGGATGCATATGATTCTGTTAAGCGGGAGATGTTTAAGTTGTATGCAGCCTTGTTGTGGACTATTAGTGACTTTCCTGGTCTTGGAACATTGTCTGGATGGAACACCTACACTGGACTTGCTTGTCCAACATGCAACTTTGATAGTATACCTTGTCGCCTTCCCCATAGTAGGAAATGGTGTTTTATGGGTCATCGACGCTTTCTTGACCAAAGACATAGGTTTAGACTGAACAGGATTCGTTTTAATGGACAGCAGGAGCTTCGTCATCCACCCAAAATAATTTCTGGTTTTGATGTTCTTGATCAAGTCCAGAATGTTGATGTCATTTTTGGTCGAAGTCGAGATGTTGGAGGAAAGGGGAAGAGGGTACGTGGCAATGCAGGTGTTAAACAATGGAAAAAGAAAAGCATATTTTTTGATCTTCCTTACTGGGAGTCCAACTTACTGCGTCACAATCTTGATGTGATGCATATTGAGAAGAATGTGTTTGATAATATTTTATACACCTTGTTAGGTGATAGTGCAAAGTCTAAAGATCACCTTAATGCTCGAAAAGACTTGATAGAATGGAAGTGTAAGTCAGACCTTTGGCCAAGTGAGAACGGAAAATATCCTTTAGCAATCTACACAATGAATAATAAAGGCAAGAAGGCATTCCTTAGTACTTTAAAGAACATTTCAGTGCCAGATGGTTATTCAAGCAACATTTCGAGGTGTATTGATGTAGACACTCTTCGAGTTAATGGAATGTTAAAAAGTCATGATTGTCATGTATTGATGCAACAACTTCTACCATTGGCTATGAGGGTAGCATTGCCTGAACAGGTGTCCAAGATTTTAATTGAATTATGCTCTTTCTTTAAACAAATATGTAGTAAGGTGTTGAACGCCACAAGTTTAGAAAGATTGCAACATGAAATTGTTCTGACTTTATGCCACATGGAAATGTTATTTCCCCCTTCGTTCTTCACAGTCATGGTCCATTTGATTGTTCACTTTGTTGATGAAGTTAAGCTAGGAGGTCCAGTCCATTATCGGTGGATGTATCCTATCGAGAGGTACTTGGGACAATTGAAGTCGTATGTACGAAACAAGTAACGACCTGAAGGATCCATTGCACAAGGTTACTTAATGCAAGAAATTCTTACATTTTGTTCTCGATATCTTGATGATATTGAGACTAGATTTAATCGACCGGGTCGTGTTGATGATGCATGTAATGAAGAACACCCTAACCCACGTGTTAAGGAATTTTTCCTCCAAGTTGGAAATCCACTTGGTGGTTCTTCATATTTCAATCTTACACTGACAGAAAGATTACAAGCTCATAGACATGTCCTAATCAATTGTCCGGCAGTTGATCGTTATCTCAAGTGAGTAACACTTATACATTTACCAATAAAAGTTCAGCTTCACGTTGTATGCCTAATATGTTATTTATATGTAGGGATTTTAGAGTGGAGGTGCGGAGACGCATTAGACATCGAACAAGGAGTCAAGCTGAAGTTGACAAAATAGTTCATAGAGAGTTTGTTACATGGTTCTCTAAATGGGTGAGACATTGTCTCATTTTTTGCATGAGTAGTTACCATTAACTTGTTTGTCTATGGAATGACTAATAATACTATTGAAATCTTATTTGTAGATTGTTAGAGAAGTGGAAAATTTGAATGAAAGTGATAAAGCTTTCATGCTTTCTCTTGGTCAGGGTCCCATTGTCCATGCTAGAAGATTCAATGCATATAATGTTAACAGGTTCAAATTTCGAACCTTGGCACGCGATAACGGCTTGAAAACTCAGAATAGTGGGGTATATGGTTCGTTTGGCACTAGAAGTTATTATAGTAATAATGATCCTCAAATGAGGTTTGGGGATGTCTTATACTATGGAAAACTTGTAGACATTATAGAGATAAACTATTGTGGCTTATTCACGGTTCCTTTGTTCAAATGCCAGTGGGCTAATACCACTAATCCTAGAGGCATTAAAAAAGATAAGTTGGGATTTACTTCAATTAATTTCAATAGACTAATACATACTGGTGAACATGAAGATGATGAGCCATATATCAAAGCCTCAGAGGCACAAATGGTTTATTATGTGGATGATGAAATAGAAAAGGGTTGGAGTATACCTGTTCATTTGAAGCCAAAAGACTTATATGACATGGGTGAAGATGAAGAACTTATGCCTTCCATAGAGTCATTTCCATCACAGAACTTGGAAGATATTTTTTTTGATGATGCTATGCATATGCAATTGGCAAGACCAGATGCTGATGATGAGCCTCCTAGTTTTACAAATCATGAAGATGACAATGATGAAGTTCTTACATGATGGATACTCAAGTTTGCTTTAATGTTTTGTTTTAGTCTTTTTGGTCAACATAGGAAATGTAATAGCTCATGTAATACATTCTTCTTATGTTGTTTGAGATGTGCCAAACTTGTATTGTTACTTTTATTTTTTAGTTCATGTAATACATACTATTTTTTGCATATTGTTAACTATTTTTAATACACATGATGATTTGTACTTACTGTTTTTTTTGCATATGTCCTATTTTTTTGCAGGACATATAATTTTGTTTTTTTTAGGAATGAGGATCTTTGCTAACTATTTTTAAATTGGATTTGTAGGAATGGCTCGAAAACCACGATACTCTATGAGGGTTCAATCCACACCATCTGATATCCCTGCATCTTCTCCAGTGCCTAATGCAGCTGGTTCAACAGCCCAAAGTGCTCCTTTACTGAATGAAAGCCCATCTAATTTTATGGGTAATCAATCACCTTTAACTGATGAAGAAATTGATATGGTGGAACCAACAAATGAACCACATGAAATACCTAATGCAAGTTCCAAATCTGCTGTTAAGAAAAAATCTCCCAAATATTGGACAGTTGATGTCATAGGTAATTAAACTCTAATCCACTTATTTATTAATCAGTCCATATTTTTTTATTCTAACATTGATGTTGACATAACTGCTTAGATGATAACGGAGTAAAAAAGGAGCGTCACTTGCATGTTCAGGATTTGCTTGTGCTTCCTGACAATCATAAGGTCATATTAGAATGGAGTAACGATGGCCAACCAATTCAAGAATCTGGTGGCTTGTATGGTGTATATTCAGGTTCAATTGCTGCTGATTGTCACCACTTCCCAATCATCTATCTGAAATGGCCAAAGGTTCCAAAATTTCACAAAGACCTTGTGTGGGAAAACCTTTTCAAAGTATGGTATTTTCCTCAAGTTTGTGGTTTTATTTATAAATATATGCATCCTTGTTGGTGTGTTGCTGATTAATTGCTCATATTTTCATTTTTAAGGCTAAGTTTGATGTCAACGATGGAGATCATAAAAAGTGGATAATGATGGACCTCGGAAAGAAATGGAAGGACAATAGATCAAGGTTGTGGCACATGTTTAAGAATTCTGATATGTCCTTGGAGGAAAGTATTGAGAGATGCCCAATGGGAATACCAAGAAAACAATGGGCTTCATTTTTGGAGTATAGATTTGAGAAAAGAACAGTGGTAATAGCTGAAATAATACTGTTTTAATACTGTTTTAATAAGTTACTTAATTATTTTATGTGTAATGTAGGAAATTGCTGAAAAGAATACTGCCAACAGGGCAAAGCTAACAATTCCTCACACTTTAGGCGCAAAGTCTATTGCAAGAAAAAAAAGAGAGCTGGTACAGATATATTTTTATTTTGTATGATTATGTGGCAGTGTTGTCTGAGTACTTGAATCCCACCTTATAATATGGTTCTTCACTGAGACATCCACGTCCAGGGTCACATTTAAATCTACACTTAGTTTTGCTATAATCATAATTTTTCTTTTCCTTTGTATTGATATCTCTAACAAATGAAAAAGTCATAACTTAATTTATGTACACATATTTTTCTTAATTTTTGCTTGTTGGCCAACTCTGTATTGCTATTAATTAGTACTTGGTTGAATCATACATAGTCTTGGTAAATAATTTTTGTTGGTTATTTTATTATTTTAGGAAATTGAAAAAGGTAAACCTATCAGTAGAGCGGAAATGTATGCTTATTCGCATCTGAAAAAAGATGGTACATTTGTGAATGAAGAGGCTATGGAGAAAAATGTAAGTGGAATATAGTTGTTTATTTGTATTCCTATATGACAATGTTACTATTTTTAAATTGGTTGTTGGATCTCTTTTTTGTAGGATTTGTTATTAGCTGCACAAAATGATGGAACTTTATCCAAAGAAGATGCTTACGTCCAGGTGTTTGGGAAGGAGCACCCTGGACGTGTACGGGGTATGGGATTTGGGGTCTACCCTTCACAAATTTTTAAACGTCGTTCTAGTTCTGGGGCATCTTCCTCAACATCTACAGACAATGAAATTAGAGAGTTGAAATCTAAGGTTCAATCTTTGGAGGAAGCATTGACTTTTTTTGTACGTAGCTTTGGGGGTCAAATGCCCCCTGGTTTTGCATCAAATGGATTGCATCAGGTATATAATACATTTACTAAAATTTTCTTATGTTTTCTGTTTGAGATGATGATTGTGTACCTGTGAGATGATAATTGGCTGTTGTCACTATCAACGTATAGTACATATAATTATTGAATAATTTGTGCTCTTGTTGCTGCTTCATTAGCATATGATTGAGACTTATATTAGTAGATTGTGTGGTTTGTGTGGTTTATATGTTTTTGTTTTGTTTTTATTCGTTGAGTGAATGAAAAAGAAAGGAACCCATCATAGAAAAATTAAAACTTGGTTTCTGGGTCTTCCTTTATGCTGAATTTGCCACTACCTCTTTTATCCTCATTAGATATAGAGTCATAAATTCGATGTTGTTTCTGATGGGTCAGTGATTGGTTGATACTTTTATTACTCTTTTGAGTAGGATTGGTAATTGGTTTAGAAGGAGGAACTGGGAAAGTGTTTAATTTGGAATCAAAATCAATTTGTACTTGCTTTGCTTGTTATATAACAGAAGTATAAGAAGGTGGAAAATAAAATGATTTTATTTTTCACTCGGTGCCATAACTTCGGTTTCTCTATTTTCCACCTACTCAGCTAAACCGACCCTATATATGGTTCAGAAATGATATATCTCAGAGACAATATACACAAAACCTGACAGACATGTGCTTAACCAACGTATAGTACTTATATTTGCTGCTTCATTGGCTGATGTAATTATCTTAGTAGTTATGGTTCATCGAGACACTATTAATTGGACAAAAACAATATTTTAAGTAAAGGCTTTTAAATTATTTTTCAGTACTCAATATGTATATGATTGAGACTTATATTTGAGCTATATTTTTTTTACAGCCTCAAGATTTGGGCTCTCCCAATGGATTCAGGCCATCCTCTTCTGCTAGCCATGTACCAAATGCACAAGGACCTGAACTTCAAGGACACCCATCTCCATAGTTCTCGGGTTTATATGTTCTTTTTTTTGTTTTCCAGAACAAATGGATCACAATGTATTTTGGTGATTACTTTTTGATGGATAGCTTTCCTATTTTGGTGTATATCACAATGTCAGGGTGATTGAATGTCTTTTTGGTGTTATGACAATGCTACTGTGAACTAACAATTACAATCCCCCTGTATATTTGATGTTATAAATTATTAGAATTCGGTGCAAATGGTTAGATGGCTATTTTTAGAAAAGTTTACTGCTTCTAACTATAATTATGGATGAAAAGCCTTGATATTTTTAATTTATTTATATAATTATTATATTGGATTATAAAAGATTGATTTTTAATCCAATTTGCCATTTTTAATAATTAAACATATATTGCCATTCCTAATAATTATATTAATATATATATCAAATTGTATTTAAAAAATAAATGTAAATTTTAAAACATTTAATTTATCAGCTTTAATGATATCCAATATTTAAATTCTTGAAAATAAATTAATATTTATTTGACAACGTATTGTAACAGTAAATATTGCATTATTTTAAAAAATAGTGTATTATTTTATTACAAAATTATTAAAAAAAACATTTAATAAATTTTATTTTAATATTCCACGACGGTTAGAAACCGCCTTAGTATATGAATTCAAAACAGTCGAATTTAATTTAATTTTTATACCACGGCGGTAACATAACCGCCTTTGAATCACTATTCCACTACGCTTAAGTAACTTCCTTGGCATTCTTATTCCACGACGGTTACGTAACCGCCTTTGAATTACTATTCCACTACGGTTAACCAACCGCCATGAAATTCTTATTCCACGACGGTTTCATAACCGCCTTTGAATTACTATTCCACTACGCTTAAGTAACTGCCTTGGAATTATTATTCCACGACGGTTAAATAACCGCCTTTGAATTGCTATTTAACGACGGTTAACTAACCGCCTTTGAATATTCGTAAATTTCTTTAAAAGATATGCTATGGCGGTGACAACCGCCTTGGCAACCGTCGTTGATGTCGTATTCGACGGTTATTCCAGCGGTTCAGTTAAACTGTCGTTGAATTCCCTCTCGACGATAGTAACTACGACGGTTGGATAACAGCCGAAACTCGCATATGGAGGCGGTTTGAACCGTCGTGAAATGCCTTATGAACCGCCTCTGTATACCTCTTTTGTTGTAGTGTAATAAAATAATACAATTATTACTGTGGAAAGTGCATGTTAATAATTTTATAACATTATATGTACAATTATTGATCATTATTTTTGGTTAGAGTTGCAATATTGAAAATTATTTTCAATATGACAGGCTATATAAATATACTAAAATAATGATGTATATAGTACGTTAGTTCATAATCATGATGTTTGTCTATATAAATTAATGGGCAGAATATTCTTATTCTCATATATGCATTTTCCATTTTTTGTACCTATATATGTATATTTTTCTTTTCCTTTTAAAGTAAATCAATTCATACACCACAAGGTCATCCATGATTGAGACAACACCCTATTCGTACGTTACATTATGAACAAATGGATGTCAGCTTATAAGAAAATTTATATAATTTTGAAGTTAAGACCTAACGATGTTTGGACTTTTACGTATATTGTGACATATAAATCTTTTTCTTATTAAAGAGAATGAAAGTGATATTGTGACGTATATAAACTATTGCTGACTGAAATCTGATATTCACTTTCGTCAATACTTAAGAAAGTATTATTAATTTTTCACATATATCCTTCTTCATCAGAGACATTAACGTTTCTTGGTCTGAAAGCTACGAATTGAATGTCATTTTAATTATTTTTTTTGGCCTTTGCAATTACTATTCTAACATTTGAAATAGCTAAGCTAATCATTTTAAATTTTCTTCTTGGCCTAT